TGCCACCGCTGGCCCCTGGCAAGCTGAGGGCAAAGTTGCTATTCCTTGCTGAGCAGACCTGTCTGGAGCTCTCTGTCCCCCCAAGCCAAGGTTGTGACTCTTGGGGTGGCACTCTTGCTCAGATCCCCCCTTGGCCTGCCTGGCTTGGTCTCTCACCCCAGGCCCCCAGTTTCTCGGCCTGCCAGGTTGAACAGATGCCCGACAGCAAACCCAGAGTTCCTGCCTCACCCAGTTTTCTGGCCTAAGAGTTCCTTGATTTTTTCCAGGATTCTTAGTTGCCTCTAGTGGGAGTGTCCACCCAAGGACCCCTCCTTCCTTATCACCTGGAAACCTTCCCAGTCTCTGGTCTTTGTTTGGTGGAGGTTAACAGCAGGGACCAAGGCAAGCGGATAGGTACCACGGTCCCATTGTACTGCCCCCATTTTGTCGCTTTCTCCCCAACCCCCAGGCTCAGGAATACAGGCTCCCCAGGCTGCATCTTAGGGGCTGTGGCCTGGAGAAGAGGTATTGTGTGCGTGATTGTGTGTACGTGTGCGTGAGGGGGGTATTGTGTGTGTTGGGGGCTGCATACGTTTATATGTGTATATGTGGAATTGTGTGTTACGACCGTCAGCATGTGGGACTGTATGTGTGCCCACATGCACCTGTAAGACATTTCTGTCCCTGTCCCAGAGCCCCCCAGAATGTGGACAGTCAGGCACAGCCATCATCAGCAGTCCAGGGGAGTGACCTGGGACAACCTAGAAGGCTGTGATGTCTAGGACGTGATTTCTAGGGTCTGCCTGCCACTGGCTCGCCCTGCAGCCTCAGTAGGCATCGTGCCTGCTTCTTCCCCGCACGCCGCGGGCTGGAGTGGGCTGGAGGCACGGTGCCCCTCTGTGTCCAAGGAAGGGGATTCGTGGGTGGGTCCTTCTGCTCGTGCTGGATTTGGAGGGTTTGGTGGCTGTCCTTTCCTTCGGGGAGGCAGATGGCAGGCCTTGCTGAGCTCTCTGGAGGAGCAGCCTGGTTCTGGACTGCAGATACCCTGCGTCAGGTCTGGTCTAGAGACCCTGGACTGGAGACATCCATGGCCAGGCTTTCTCACTCCCTCTTCCTGGCAGGCACGTCCCTGGTCCAGCACCTGATGACCGTCCTGATCCGCAAACACAGCCAACTCTTCACCTCGAGGGCCGAGGAGGGGCCGGCCTCCCCACGGGGGGGCCCACCGTGCACAGTGGGGTGGGGCTCCGAGGAGGTCCCAAGGGACGGCCAGCCAGAGCCCGGCAGCCCCGGCACCCCCGGCCTGCCATCACACAGGACCTCTTCTCTGGACGGGGCCACTGTGGCGGCGCTGTCTAGAACCTCCCCCGTGGGTCCGGGTGGCCGAGGCAGCCCCACCACTGCCGCCAGCCCCGGGAAGAAGGTGCAGACTCTGCCCAACTGGAAATCTTCCTTCTGGCAGCCGGGGGCCCGGTCAGGGAGCCCGAAGGTGGGCAGCTCCTCCCTGGAGGTGCCCATCATCTCCTCCGGAGGGAACTGGCTCATGAACGGGCTGTCCTCCCTGCGCGGTCACCGCCGGGCCTCCTCAGGAGAACGGCTCAAGGACTCTGGCTCTGCGCAGAGACTCTCTACCTACGACAACGTGCCCCCGCCCAGCGGCCTCTTTCCCAGCACTCCCAGTGTGGCCAGCACGGCGTGGTCGGGGGCCTCCTCCTGCGAGGCGTCAGCGGGGGGCTCGCTCAGCAGCTGCACAGCCTGCCGGGCCAGCGACTCGTCTGCCTGCAGCTCCCTGCCCACCGAGGGGGGCCTCGAACCCTCCCCTTTCCCCAGCAGCAGCGAGGACCGCAGATCCCCGGACCTGGGCCGCGGCCCGGACGAGGTGGGCACCTGCATCAGCAGCAGCGAGCCCAGTGACCCAGGCAGCCCCAGCCAGGACTATGCCCGCTGCTCCGAGGCTCTCCAGGGCCTGGTCACAGAGCTCAGGGCGGAGCTGTGCCGGCAGAGGACTGAGTACGAGATGAGTATGAAAAGGTAAAGGGCTGCAGCCGCTGGGTGAGTGTGAGGCCGCCCCCCCCCCCGGGGGCCCGGTGGAGCCCTTGCGGCCAGCAGCCCACGGGGCACAGGCCCTGGGCAGTCGGCCTCTGGTCATGGCCTCTGGCACTGAGAGCAAGCCACCAGGAGGCAGGGCTCAGAGTAGCCAGCCCCTGGGAGCCACCTTGCTGGGAGATGCCCCCAGGACGGGGTTGGGAATGGAGGGGTGGGGTCCTATGTCTGGGAAAGCTCAGGAGCTCTGGGGCCTGGCATGCAGTCAGAGCTCCATAAATGCTGCTGGATGAGCGAGTGAGTCAGAAGCTCAGCCTTAGCTGCTCAGAGCACCTTTAATGGAGGGGCTCAGCATGGGGGTCCCTCCGTGGCCCTCAGGGAGGAGGTGGGCCCCCTGAAGTGTGCAAGGACCCAAGGAAGCGCCCACGTGCGATGCTGGCCCTGGGCCAGCTAGCCTGGCTGGCTGACCTGGTCCGGCCCGATATGGAAACGCCTTCTGGGACTGTAATCCAATTTTCTATGAGGAGGGAGCTGGCTGTGCTAAGCGGTGCCCTCCTACCTGCCCTGGTCACAGGAGGATGCCTTGTGCCCCATTCTGAGCCCTGCAGGTTTGTTCACTGATGGTCCTGGTGTGATCCTTCCCCCTCCCCTGTGAGGAGGGGGTTTCCCAGCTCTGAGGCGCCAGGTTCTCTACCCAAGGTCAGGAGCAGAGTCTTGCACTGACAGCATGCAGTGCTTCTCCCAGCCTCTCTGGCTCCCTAGCCCCTTGCCCCAGATGTCTGACCTGTAAATCAGGTCCCACCCACTAGCAGGTGTCTGTGTGTTCTGAGGTCTTCCTTTCTCCATCAGAGACAGTGGGGGGTGGAAGGGACTCCTGCTTCTGACTCTGAGCCTGGGATTTCTACAGGGAGCTTCAATGGCAGCGTCGGCCCTTCTGTTCTGCAGGAGGTCAGGGAGGGTCATAGCGGGCGACGTGTGAGCTAGGAGTTGAAGGACCAATAGGATTGGGCTGAGCCAGGAGGAGAAAGGACACAACAGGAGTAGAACTGTGAGGTATACAACGGGGGCAGGGGGAGATACCCCACACACGGGAGCGCTGGGCTGGGACTTACCAGGCAGAGGTAACAATGGAACGCCCCGCAGATACAGAGGAGGAGGATTACAGCTGAAGATGAGCTCGCAGACAAAAACTACAGAATACATGGCAAGTGTGAGGACAGCCTCAGAGGGCGTCAGAGTCCACTTTTCACTTCCTCAGCTGTTTGTGGAGCCAGCTTGAGCTTCTAGTTCTTTTACCTTCTCAGAAGCTTAGGTTTCTCAGGGGGACAGTGCTGTGCTTCGTGGAGGGCTCTGGGTGAGACTGCCTGGGGTTGGGCCCCTGCCCGCTGGGTATTGGCCGAGCATCCCAGGTGGGCTATCTGACCCCGGTGTGTATTGGCTGAATGTCTGTCTGGCAGGCTCTCTGGGCTTGATGATGTCACCCCTTTGGCATGAGGATTAAGTGCCAGCGGATGGGAGTCCTCAGCACAGGGCCCGGTGCAGCCAGAGTGCTCAGGAAGCTTTCACTGCTCACGCTTCCTCCTGCTTGGTGGGTGGGAGGCTCTCAGAAGCAAGGGGGCAGCAGCGGCAGCACTTGTAGTACTCTCGCCAGCAGAGTGGTTTGTGCTGTCGTCCTGGGCCGAGGGGTGGTCTAGGGAGAGGAGGATCTCTCTGAGCACAGGAGAGAATAGAGCCCCAGCCAGCAGGTCTTTACATATGGAGTCTGCACTGGGTCTGGTCTGGGGAGTTGGGGGAAACCAGCTTTCAGCCCTGCTTTCCAGGACTCAGAACCCCTCCCCTGTACCAATTCTTACATTCCCAAAAGAGAATTCATTGAGTGGCTGTGATGTGCAGACACTGTACTAGATGTTGGGGACAGAGCCAAGACCAAAACCGATCAAAACCTCTGTCCTTATTTTTATTTGGTGCTGTGTGTGTATTGGGGGTGAGGGGGAGCGACCATGAACGAGATAGATTTTTTAAATATCTATGGTATGTGAGGGGCACCTGGCTGGCTCAGTTACACATCCGACTTTGGCTCAGGTCATGATCTCGCGGTTCGTGAGTTCGAGTCCCGTGTCGGGTTCTGTGCTGACAGCTCAGAGCCTGGAGCCTGCTTCAGATTCTGTGTCTCCCTCTCGCTCTGCCCCTCCTCCACTCGTGCTCTGTCTCTGGCTCTCTCTCTAAAATAAACAAACATAAAAAAAATTTTTTTTAAATCTATGGTATGTTAGAAGGTCAGATAAAGGAGGAGAACTAGCAGGGTGGAGGGCAGGGGAGCATGGGAAGAGAGGGCTGGAAGGCTGTGCTGGGACAGAGGGAAGGCCAGGGGTTGCAGTGGGGAGAGGTAGGTGGAGGAAAGGGTCAGGCAAGTGGAGTGGGAGAAAGGGGGGTGGAGGGCAGAGCGTGGGGCTCCAGGCCAGACGTGTGCATGTCATGGACCTGACGGGCAGCAGTTGAGGTGGAGAAAAGCACCAGATTCTGAACGTGTTTGGAAGGCTTGCTAATTGGTCAGATGTGGGGGTGAAAGAACGGACTTAGGGGACATTTTTGTCATGGTGTAGTAAATGGAAGGGGGCTGTTCAGTGTGTGGGACACCAGGGCCACAGAAGTGGTTTGGAGAAGAAGGGTCAGGAGCCAACTGTGGACCCGCTGAGGTGCGGTGCTTACCAAGTTTCTGAGTGGAGTCGAGGCACACAGAGGCTGAGAGGTCGTCAGCATGTAGATGCAGCCTCGGGTCTGGAGACTGGATGAGGTCACACGATGAGCCACATAGAGAGGAAACAGGAGGCCCAGGCCCAAGCTTGAGAGCACCAGATCGGGGAGGAGGAGCCAGCCAAGAGGGGGCTGGAGCCAGAGGAGAAGCAGTGAGGAGTCTGGGGGGGTGCCTGCTGCCACCTGCCATGGGGATTCTTCTCATAGTGTGTCCTGTGCTCCCCAGATGGGGGGCTGGGCTGCAGGGAGGTTTCCTGCCTTCTTCATGCTTTGTGTTCGTTGATTGAGGGTGGAGGCCTGGGCCTGGATGCGGTGGGAATGGATTCTTACTCCCATTACTCCATGTCACAGGTGTTGCGCTGTGTACTCGTGGCCTTCTGTGTTCATTGTAGCTGTAGCTCCTGGAGGAAGGGTTGTCCCTGACAGTTTTTCAGAAAAGACACCAGGACCCGGTAGTTTGTGTTCTGCCCACAGTCACATGCCTCATAAGCAGCCAGGCTGGGGCTCAAACTCCAGTGTTTTGGTTCTCAGGGGCTGGGCTTAGCATGCCCCACAGGCCTTACGGGAAGTAGTCATCTGGCTGAAAAGATGGATGTGCCGACCTCTGTTCTGTGTGGTGTCAACATCCACAGAAGCATGTCTGCCACGGCATCAAGGAACGCTGATGTGGCCTCCTGGGGAGGATCCAGAGACTTATCGCTGAGGGTGAGGCATTCGAGCTGGGGAGTGAAGGACAAGTAGGAATGGAGGGCACAACCCAAATGGGGTTTTCAGTGAGTCGCCATGTCTGGCTGGG